GTCATTAATAGCCTACCAACCAAAAAAAAAAAAAAAGCCCAGGACAATACAGATTCACAGCCAAATTTTACCAGAGGCACAAAGGGGAGCTGGTACCATTCCTTCTGAAACTATTCCAAACGATAGAAAAAGAGGGACTCCTCCCTAACTCATTTTATGAGACCAGCATCATCCTGATTCCAAAATCTGTCAGAGACACAACAAAAAAAAGACAATTTCAGGTCCATATCCCTGATGAACATCAATGCAAAAATCCTCAATAAAATACTGGCAATCCAAATCCAGCAGCTCATCAAAAAGCTTACCCACCATGACCAAGTAGGCTTCATCCCGGGGATGCAAGGCTAGTTCAACATTTGCAAATCAATAAACATAATCCATCACATAAACAGAAAGCACATGATTATTATCTCAATAGATGCAGAAAATGTCATTGATAAAATTAAACATCCCTTCATGCTAAAAACTCTCAATAAACTAGGTATTGATGGAACATATCTCAAAATAATAAGAGCTATTTGTGACAAACCCATAGCCAATATCATACTGAATGGGCAAAAGCTGGAAGCATTCCCTTTGAAAGCCAGCACAAACAAGGATGCCCTCTCTCACCACTCCTATTCAACACAGTATTGGAAGTTCTGGCAAGGGCATCAGGCAAGAGAAAGAAATAAAGGGTATTCAAATAGGAAGAGAGGAAGTCAAATTGTCTCTGCTTGCAGATGACATGATTGTATATTTAGAAAACCCCATCATCTCAGCCCAAAAGCTCCTTAAGCTGATAAACAACTTCAGCAAAGTCTCAGGATACAAAATCAATGTGCAAAAATCGCAAGCATTTCTATACATGAATAATAGACAAACAGAGAGCCAGATCACGAGTGAACTCCCATTCACAATTGCTACAAAGAGAATAATACCTAGGAATACAACTTGCCAGGGATGTGAAGGACCTCTTAAAGAACTACAAACCACTGCTCAAGGAAATAAGAGAAAACACAAACAAATGGAAAAATATTCCATGCTCATGGACAGGAAGAATCAGTATCGTCAAAATGGCCATACTGCCCAAAGTAATTTATAGATTCAATGGTATTCCCATCAAGCTACCACTGGATTTCTTCACAGAATTAGAAAAAAACTACTTTTAAATTACATATGGAACCAAAAAAGAGCCCGTATACCCAAGACAATCCTAAGCATAAAGAACAATGCTGGAGGCATCATGCTTGTGACTTCAAACTATACTATAAGGCTGCAGTAACCAAAACAGCATTGTACTGGTACAAAAACAGATATATAGACCAACAGAACAGAAAGGAGGCCTCAGAAATAATGGCCTCATACATCTACAACCATCTGATCATTGACAAACCTGACAAAAACAAGTAATGGGGAAAGGATTCCCAATTTAATAAATGATGTTGGGAAAACATTACTGAAATAAAATAAAGAAGACATTTTGTGGTCATAAATTGGAATACTTAACATTGTTAAGATGGCAATACTTCCCAAAGTAATCTACGGATTCAATGCCAACTCTATCAACATTCCAATGTTTTTTTTCCAGAAATGGAAAAGCTGACTCTCAAATTTATACAGACTTGTAAGGAGCCAGGAATACTCAAAACAATATGGATAAAAAGAACAAAATGAAGGACTCACATATTCCAACTTCTAAGCTTGCTACAAAGCTGCAGTAATGAAAAGAATACGGTACTGGCATAGGGATAGACACATAGACCAGAATAGAATTGAGAGTCCAGAACTAAACCTGTAAATCTATAACCAACTGATTTTTGACAGGGCTGCCAAGACCACTCAATTGAGGAAAAAACTGTCTCTTCAACAAGTAGTGCTGGGACAAGCGGTTATACACATGCAAAATAATGAAGTTGGACCCTTAACATACACCATTTGCAAAAGTCAACTCAAAATGGATCAAAAATCTGAATATAAGAGTTAAAACCATAAAACTATTAGAAGCAAACTTGGAAGAAATCTTCATGACCTTGGATTTGGCAATGGATCCTTAGATATGACTCAAAAACACAAGCAACCAAAGACAAAATAGAGAAATTGAACTTTCTCAAAATTAAAAACATTTTTACATCAAAGGACATTATCAAGAAAGCGAAAAGACTACCCACAGAATGGGAGGGAACATTTGCAAATCATGTATCTGATAAGGGTCCAGTAACCAGAAAATAAAAACAATTATTAAAGGTCAAGAACAAAACCAAAAACAATCCAATTAAAAACGGTCAAAGAATGTGAAAATACATTTCTCCAAAGATGTACAAATGGCCAACAAGCACATAAAAACATACTCAATGTCATTAGGCATAAGGAAAATATAAATCAAAACCATAATGAGATACTATTTCACACCCACTATGATGGCTATAATTTTTAAAAAGGGGGACAGATAACAGGTATTGGTGAAACTGAAGTCCTCAAACATTGTTGGTGGAGATGTAAAATGGTTCAACCACTTCCTAAAACAACGTGGGACTTCCTCAAAAAGATCAATGGAGTTCCCATATGACCCAGCAATTCTACTCCCAGAGAATTCAAAACAAGTCTACAAAAGAACTTGTACACAAATGCTCATAGCAGTATTGTTCATAATAGGCCCAAAGTGGAAACCGAAATTTGGTAAATTTCAAAAACTAGATTAAAATATACTATATCCCTACAATGGAATACTAATCAGCCATAAAAAGGAATGAAGTACCATTATGGACTGTGGAATTGGCAGTAACTGGTTCATGGGTGTGGGTTTTAATTTGGTGTGGTGGAACCACATAGGAGTGACAATTGCACATTTACATGAACTAAATGCCTTTAATTGTTCACTACAAAATACTTAATTTTATGTTATATGAATATCACCTCAATTTTTTTTTTTTTTTT